TACACATGATGTCTGTTACATTATCACACATGATGTCTGTTACATTATTACACATGATGTCTGTTACATTATCACACATGAAAAGGAAATATTTAATTATGGAAATAGGTTATTTAGAGAGAAGGAACCATGTTGTAGACTGTGTAACTGGACTGTGTAACTGGACTGGGTAACTGGAATGTGTAACTGGACTGGGTAACTGGAATGTGGAACTAGACTGGGTAACTGGAAAGTGTAACTGGACTGTGTAACTGGACTGGGTAACTGGACTGTGTAACTGGACTGTGTAACTGGACTGTGTAACTGGACTGGGTAACTGGACTGTGTAAATGGACTGTGTAACTGGACTGTGTAACTGGACTCGGTAACTGGACTGTGTAACTGGACTGTGGAACTGGACTGTGTAACTGGAATGTGTAACTGGACTGTGTAACTGGACTGGGTAACTGGACTGTGTAACTAGACTGGGTAACTGGACTGTGTAACTGGACTGTGTAACTGGACTGTGTAACTGGACCGGGTAACTGGACTGTGTAACTGGACTGTGGAACTGGACTGGGTAACTGGACTGTGTAAATGGACTGTGTAACTGGACCGGGTAACTGGACTGTGTAACTGGACTGTGTAACTGGACCGGGTAACTGGACTGTGTAACTGGACTGTGTAACTGGACTGGGTAACTGGACTGTGTAACTGGACTGGGTAACTGGACTGGGTAACTGGACTGGGTAACTGGACTGGGTAACTGGAATGTGTAACTGGACTGTGTAACTGGAATGTGTAACTGGACTGTGTAACTGGACTGTGTAACTGGACTGGGTAACTGGACTGTGGAACTGGACTGGGTAACTGGACTGTGGAACTGGACTGTGGAACTGGAAGAAACAGAAAGTAGGCCAAAGCTCAAACCATTTCACCAGCACAGTGGTGATGTCTGTCTGAGTGATAACAGTCAAATCTGTACGAGTTCAGACCATGAGTCATCATCTGAACCTTCTGTGGAAGGACACATCTGCTSGGTACAAAAGATGAAAATAGTCCAATCATTGTTACAGAGGAAACCTTTAGAAACTGAGGTTTTAGAGTGGTGTGAAACATGACAGAAAGAAAAACCTTTTGTAAAGAATCAGGACAGTGGCTCTACTTCAGCACTACAAATACTGTACGTTTTTGAACAGTCTGGTGGAGATGGGGTCTATCAGAAACACAGGAAATTAGGTTGGTGACACTTATAAAGCAGGTTTTAAATAAAGAATGAGAGAATACAAAATATTTTAATGTATTTATCATGTGTCAGGAGGAAGGTTTTTATAATGAATATAATGATCWGTTATCAAATCATCAACTAACAGAYGGAGATGAAAGACATGTTCAGTAATCCACATTTAATAGTTTTAGTTTTCTGTTCTGGTAAAGAAACTGTTTATTTTGTAGTATTTTTATGTCTAACTGTTGTTCAGCTTGTGTTTTGGTCTGTGGGAAGCTGACACTGTTTCAATGGTTACAAGTAGAAAACAGGCATCAATTCATTTGATGTTATACATTTTTGGAGTTTAAATGTTGTTTTAAGCTGAGTGTCAATAAAACAGAGAGAAACAAMGTCATGTCCAGGAGAGGTGGTCAGTCAGTGACCATTAGGACAGCTGGGTTTGGTTGTCCTCTCTTTAATCACCTCCTCTCTGCAGAGCCACAGGAATATGCTGACCTGGACTGTTTCTAAAGTTAATCTGCCAGAYGTGCAGCCTGTCATTACTTTCTGTGAGATTACTAAACTTTGTCCAGATGCTCCGAACATATTTGATTAATACAGAAACACAGATATTATGGTCCACCTTCACCTCTCAGTAATACTCTAATGTCCTGGGTTCATGGACAACATCACATCTACAATTACAGGAATAAATGTTACAACTAATCTGAAATGTGCTTTAACAGGTGAGCCACACTGAGCTGCAGCTCAGTACCTGCTTTCAGCCAGTTAACGGGAGAATCCAAGTCAAGGTCCTTACTGCCCAGAACCTCCCCCCATCCTCCTCACCACTGTCCCAGTGTAAGTACATCTGTGGTTATAATGGTTTAGTGTCTGCAGCCTGTGGCTCCTCTGCAGCAGCTCTCTTTCACCAGTACTAACATACAAATTAATACTTTTATTCAGAAGCACACAAACGATGTTCTTTAGGCAGATGTCCTTCTCCACATTTCTACAACATTTTCTTCATAATGTTTCAGAGACAGAAAGTACAGAGAAGAGCTGCTGGACCAGCAGCACAGACTAACTCAGTAATGGTAGTACTTCTTTATGCATTTCTTTTCTAACAGATTAATAAAGTACAAAAAACATGCAGTCAAAATAAAAACAAATAAAATGAAAGGCAGCAGAAGAAGAATAAATATATCTGCCCCTTTTTATAACCAAAATATGTTCAAAAGAAAATTAAAAAT